ACACATATTCACAGAGAAAACTGTAATAATATTTCTCAATATTACCGTTTTTATTGTATGTGTGGACATATCAATGCAGTCCGAGACTAAAAGAAAAATATTACAAAATTCTTAATTATTTCAAACTTTTGAACAGCAGTGTTTGAGAAATGAATGTGAAAGTAGTTTTTGTTATAAGAATCGAGGTTGTGGAAGTGGAGAGAACAGCACTTGAAGTGTGAAGCAGCAGAAGGTGCAGTATTTCTGCAGAGCGTCAGTCTGGCTCATGAGCTCACCGCAGGGTACTGGCGGTGGCAGACCTCGGCCAGATGCATCCCGGTCACGACGCCGAGTCGAGCGGCCAGCCGCTGCAGCAGCAGCCCGATGATGGTGGAGACCAGCAGAACCCACAGCAGCTGCGGCATAAACGCTCATTTAACACCACAATACTGATACTGTAAGTGAACCGGGTCCTGTGACCGCCGTCGCTCTGACTCTTATGAGCAGATCCACTGAATCAAATCCTTTAGGAATCAGTTTGAGCAGTTATTGTAGATCTCTACATGACATCGTGCCGGTTAAGATACACAAAATGAGTACTGTTGTAGTCTGTCGTAATGTATAAAACTGAATAAATTAATAAGATGTGTTCAATATTTAAGTTAGGAGCAATTATTGGTGTCAGCTCTACTGAAAAGTCACCAAATGTCAGCGCAAACACATTTCTGACTCACGTCCGTTCTGTTGAAAATGAAATGATTTATGTTTGCACTTTTATTGATGGGGTTACATTACACTGCATTGAAGGCTGTCATTGCATCAGTTCTTGTTTTCCCTGAGTTGATCTTGTGACCTTGGTGTTGCTACAGGACGAGGGGGAATCTCAGCGTTTGCCAACAGACTGCTTTTTTAAGATTTCACAATCCAAAGCACTAAAAGCATTGCTAATGGAGCCATTTAGCAGCAGATTCATCAAAAGGAATCAGAACGGCCAGCAGCCGAGCATGTGATGTAAATGAAGGCAGCAACACTGGACCGTAGTGTTGCTCAGATGAGTGCAGATACTGAACACGAACTCTGGACTCACCTTGAATCCAGCTATAGCCCCGGACTGAAGATCCGACTCTATGTTCCCAGGGTCCAGATACGCGATGCTCATCAGAAAACCCGGTCCAGTGAAGGCCCAGAGTTTACGAAAGCTAAACAGCTAGAGAGAGGAAGAGCAATACAGGTCACACTCATCTCAACAGCAGCTGCTCGGCTGGGTCTGAAATCTGCACTCCAGAAGGTTTTTATTTAGCACAGTGGCTAGATTAACAAATAACCAGACGCCACCCGATCCGTTTAATAGTAATGACTTTATGAATTTCTTCACTGATAAAATAGATAACATCAGAAATACAATAACAAATGTAGATTCTATAGCGTATAATATTCTTCAGCTTCATTCATCGCACCAAAAGATAAACTGCAGTGCTTTACAGCTATAGGACAGGAAGAGCTAAATAAACTTATCACTGCATCTAAACCAACAACATGCCTGTTAGATCCTGTACCCACTAAATTATCTGTTTGATCTCTGAGGGGTGACCACGGCGCGGGACCTTGTTTTCGTAACATTTTGAATGTGTCTATTTTTCCATTTGCTTCTTCAGAGTCTCTTCCTCTTTTTGTGCTCGAGGAAATCAAGATCCATCTCGTGCTTGGACTGATTCATGAGTTAGAGCGTAACGATGACCAACATCACAATCTGACAGAACACTTTGTGTTCTAGTGCATGACCTTTGACACACATATGTGCCTGATAACAGCTCCGTCACTCTCATAAAACTGCACTGCTATAATCTAGACCAAGAAACAAACTCACGTTCATCTCGGATGGCCTGAGAACGAGCACATTTTCAGCAGATTTTCCATTTTTGGGTGAACTACTCCTTTAACATTTTGAAATTCAATGTTGAAGTAAAAGTATCCATCTGATGCTTTACAGGCACTTATGTATTACTGGCTTATTATCATAACATCAACTTGGTTTACTTGTGTATATGATGAGAAACAAAAGATGATTTAAATCAAAACACAAGCTGGTTTTGATATTAAAAAAGCAAAGTCAAAGAAGTCAAAAGGATGGATGGAGTGATGTTCCCGTCGGCGAGGTACCTTTGTTCCGTCATCATCAGGGATGGGAACCTTCTGCTCGAAGTAGGTGGAGACGGGCTCCTGCTGCGGGTCAGGAGACACAGGGCTGTAGAGGTCAGGCTCCTGCGGGCTTCTCTCTGAAACACAGCACACACCACCTTCATTATGAGACACGGAGCTCAGAAACTCTCACGCTTCAGTCCCATGAGCCTCGGACACCGAGACGCTAATCAAGCCTGAAACATCCTGCACAGTTAACAAGCCACTGCACTCATTTATGAGCCCGAGATATCAGATCTCCTGTAATATAACAACAGCAGAGCCCAACCGAGTCAGTGAGTTCAGCTGAGAATATGACACATCATAAACATGGATATGACATCACGAGCCTATTAAAACTCGAGGAAACGACGGCAGTAAACTCCGAGCGTTACGACAGCCGCTTATGAAACACACTTTTACACACACTCGATCACCGTCAGACAGGAATGAGCAAAAATGCATGATCTGCTAGTCAGTGTTCAAGAAGCCCTGTATAACGATAATATATCATCAGCCAATCGGTTTTTCTGTTATCCTATCAAACAAACAGTATATTGGCTTTATATCGACCATCAGAAATATGGCTTGATCTGTAATGCAGAGTCATTAACACACATCTATGCACCACCGCTGAAATATGATTAACTCACTAGTTAACTTCTCTAATTGTCTAGTCAGTTATCATCAGACCAGCAATATTACTGAAGACCCAGTGTTCAAAATTTTTGGTTACACTTTATTTTAAGGTGTCCTTGTTACAGTGTAATTAAACATTTAAGTACGGAGTAATATTAATTAACATCATGTAATACAGAGTTCTGGCCGACACAGAAGAGCGTACGCTGCTTGCGTCCAGTGGATATTCTCCAAAATGGCGCTACGGTGATGCGGAGAGACACAGAGGAGACGAATTGTTGAATAAAGTTGTTATTTTAGTTTTCTTCGCGTACAAAAAGTATTCTCGTCGCTTCGTAACGTTACGGTTGAACCACTGATGGCAGATGGACTATGGCTTTCATACTTTTCTGGATCTTGACAGTGCAAGTCAATGGGACAGTCACAAGCCTCCCGGGTTTCATCCAAAATATCTTAAATTGTGTTCCGAAGACGAGCGAAGCTTTTACGGGTTTGGACCGACATGGGGGTAAGTGATTAATGAGAACATTTTCATTTTGGGGTTGAGTATCCCTTTAACATTGCCATGTACATTACCATGCCAATCCCTCCGAGAGTTATCATGACAGAACTTACTATATGGTTAGGCTTTGGCTTAGGGTTACTTGCATGTAATTATGCATAATTTATTGTTATTATAATAGCAAGTACATGTGTAACAAGGACACCTTAAAATAAAGTGTAACCAAAAATTTTGAACACTGGGTCTTCAGTAATATTGCTGGTCTGATGATAACTGACTAGACAATTAGAGAAGTTAACTAGTGAGTTAATCATATTTCAGCGGTGGTGCATAGATGTGTGTTAATGACTCTGCATTACAGATCAAGCCATATTTCTGATGGTCGATATAAAGCCAATATACTGTTTGTTTGATAGGATAACAGAAAAACCGATTGGCTGATGATATATTATCGTTATACAGGGCTTCTTGAACACTGACTAGCAGATCATGCATTTTTGCTCATTCCTGTCTGACGGTGATCGAGTGTGTGTAAAAGTGTGTTTCATAAGCGGCTGTCGTAACGCTCGGAGTTTACTGCCGTCGTTTCCTCGAGTTTTAATAGGCTCGTGATGTCATATCCATGTTTATGATGTGTCATATTCTCAGCTGAACTCACTGACTCGGTTGGGCTCTGCTGTTGTTATATTACAGGAGATCTGATATCTCGGGCTCATAAATGAGTGCAGTGGCTTGTTAACTGTGCAGGATGTTTCAGGCTTGATTAGCGTCTCGGTGTCCGAGGCTCATGGGACTGAAGCGTGAGAGTTTCTGAGC